ATGAATTTTTTCGTGCTCCGCTTTCAAATAACACGGAACCCAATCCAACAGTGGAGCAATCCCCCGTAACAGACGGAGCACCGAGTTTTACAAACGCTCTAAATTTCGATTGCACTCGCGAGCTGCCGTTTGGGAACAGGATCAAGAAGGATCGTCGATCGTTGCTGTAAAACTTCACACGTCGAACAGGAATGCATTTTTATTATCAGATCAGTTCCGCAGTTACCGCGGGAAAAACACGAAGAAAAGAGAAAGAAAGGAAGAAAATTGAAGGTAGAACGTATCTTTCTTCTCGTCCTTTTTTTTTTTTCGTTTTTCACTGACGCGAACAGAACTCGTTCGATTCGTGAAATATTTATCTACTTCCGAATTTTTGAACGTCTCTCGGGGCTTAGAGAATCGGCTGGTGCGTCTTTTTCTTCGATTTTTATTGCATCTAGCTGGCGAAAGTATATTCGAGCACTCGTCGACATTTTTTTTTTTTCTTTGGTCAATATTTGTGAGGTGCTTGGTCTCGTTTTAAAACGTGAAGCCTTTACTTTGTTAGTCGTGAGCGTTTTTGTTTTAAAGATGATTTTATATCAAGTAATGGATGAGAGTACTTTCTCTTTTTTTTTTTTTTTATCGAAAATTGTAAAAATTCAAATGCGAGTGAAAATGTTAAAAAAATTTTTTCACAACTAAGTCTACTATCATTTTGAAGTCTCTCCTTTACAGCGACTTTTAAAACTTGTTTCTACAACTTTTATTTTATTAAACATTTTAAACGACAAAAATTCAAGGAATTTATCATTTCGTCATAGAACCCTAATGTTTCAAGTTCGATTAAACAGTAAATAAGAAGAAAAGAAAATTTCAATCTTCAAGCTCATTAGACAATGAAAACAATTTTTTAACGTTTCTATGCGCGTTCGAACTTTTTGCAACTTTCGAGAAAAAAGTATCCTCTCCCACCCGTTGCACGATGTAAAAGCATTTTTGAAAAAAAAAAAAAAAAAAAAAAAAAAAAAAAAAAAAAAAAAAAA